AAGTGGCTTTTGGTCACATCGTTCTACCAATAACAATCTAGTAAACATAGATACTGAAATATGTGATTCACATGACATGAACCAACATGATTCAATATCATTGTTTCATTAGATATTGAAAAGGAATATAAACTAGTGCACAGAAAAATATTTTTATTATTCATTCTCTCCAACATACCAACTAGAGGTAATCTATTTGCCATTATCTTGAATTTCGTAGCACACATATTTCCAAGTACGAGAACAGGACAAATTATCTCAACGAGTAGAGATGATTAATGGTCTCCCACAAGGTTCTGTCCTGAGTGCACAGCTAATCGTCCTCACAATAAATAAAGTAAACAATATTGTTGAAAACACTGTTAGGATGTTCCTATTTGCGGATGATATCACTCTACTATGCAGGTAAAAAATCTGCAACTAACCTCCAACATCATTCAAGATAACTTAAACAAGATATATGATTAGGCAAACTTCTCAGGTTCCATCACATCAAAAATAAAATAAAAATTTATTGTATTCTCCAGAAATCACCACATTATGAACACAAGTGTTTCATTAAAAATGGGCGATCATAAATTGCACAGAACTAATACCTGAAAGATCCTCGGAATGATATTTAACCGTAAACATTCGTAAAAACATATCATCAATCTCAAAATCACTTCAACCCCAAGATTCAATATTATACAAATATCATCAAAAAATGGGGCGCTGAATCAAAGTGTCTCATAAGAATTTACGCAGCCTATTTGCTGCAACAATTAAATCCAATCATCAACACTGCATGTCGTCTAAGCCTCTGCGATTTTATATCTGTTCTACAAATATCCCATCCAATCAATACATAAACAGTCATTCGAAAACAGGAATATATCAATATCGTCCACATTTTCCAAGACCACTTCTAGAAAACCTGACAAAAAAATATTTTGCAATTGAAAAACTATCTCTCCCTTCCAAGACATCTGCACCCGGTTACTCCGTGGAAACCATTCACTCCAAACATAGATCTGGAATTAAGCCAATATTCAATTCCAATATTGACATCACATTCTCTGAATGTTTACATTAATGGGAAATACGAAAAGTATCAAAAATGGTTAACTGATGCCAAAACGCGATAGAAAATTTGGAGTTTTTGGTTGCAGTTTTTACAACGTCCTCAAATATTACATCATGCCGTCCTTCAGATTTCCTCTCTATTGTTTTGCTGTGAGGCCATGGCTGTCTTTAAAGCCATTGCATACAGCATCCAAAATGTTGGCAACACCCCCATTGCTAAAACAAATATGGATTATCAAATAGTTTTCAAATTATTTCTAAAAGGCTAATTTGTGAACGTATAACACAAGTTCCACTGTGAATAAAACCTCCGAATCTTATCGCTGTTCTTATCGCTGCCGTTCCCGCTTATCTCGCCGTTCAACAATGAACTTCTCAAATATTCATTACGCCTTTTTTAGTTAGAAAATTGAGAATATTAATTGTAGAATAGAGTAAAATAAAATTAATAATGGCATTTTCAATTGAAAATTGTAAATAAACGGTGTTTTTTGACACCGTTTGGATACATTCCTGTTCTCTGAAGATTATCTGGCCCTTAGTTGGTGAGACATCTCTACATATTTCATTAATTTCAAGCAGGAATATCGCGAAAAGAACTAGCTAAAAATGTGTACTGAATAAACAACTCGAAAGACAAAGCCCTTGAGCCAGGCCACCTTGAGCACGCAGGTCTTCCCGGAGATGGGCATTCCCACCACCATGAAGCCGTGCCGCACCAGCATCATCTCGTACGTCTGGGTGATCTTCAGCAAGAACGAGGGCACCACCTGCAGATTCTCTTTCTTGCACACCTGCAGGCACCGAAAGATAACAGGGTGAGCGTACAACTCAAATTCAGTTCACTTCCATTATGCCGTATTTTTCGTGGCGAGTCTCTGGTCGTCACGCCTGCTTTTCCGTCTGAACACGCAAATTCAAATTCACAGTTCGCTTCAAATCGACAAGCTCTCAAGATTCACCTACCCCTACTCACACATATACACTCTTTCTCGAAGACAACATCTGTAGAGAAATTTCTAAATGACCTGTATAACACTTCCCCGTTACCTATAGATTATATAACTCCACGCATGGTAAAGTAATTAATCAAAATTAAAACGAAATCTTCCCTCGGAAAAAACTTATTAACCTTGCTCTAAAACACCTTACACCACACCCCCTTGCATATTCTTATATAACTGTCATCTTCAACAGTTGATTACGACGCAGATTCTCACCCACCGCATGCTGGAAAAAAATCAATAGTAATTCCCATTTTAAAACTCAACAAATTACTCCAAACTCCCATCAAGGTTCAGACCATTTTGTCTATTACCAGCATTTGTAAAATGTTCAAAAAGATTATTTTAATGAGATTAAACGCATACCTTATTAAAATAAATGCAAATCTGCCACATCAACTCGGATTCCGTCCTCTCCACTCCTCAGCCCACCAATTGTTAAATATTATTGGGGAAATTGCTCTACTTTATCAACAAAAACAATTCTGCGTAGTGGTCTTCATGAACTTCGCTTAGCATTTGATAAACTCTGGCACAGTGGATTATTATTCAAGATACGTCAAACTAGGACTCCCGGAATATCAATTCAAAATAATCAGAAGCTTTCTTTAATAGATTCTTCGCAGTAAAAATGAACAATACCCCATCCCTACCTACTTCAATTCGAGACTTTCCCCTTTCAACCCTCTTTAGTAACTTCAAGGAAGATATTAACTGCTCTACGGCTCTGTAAGCTGATGATAAAGCTCTCTTCACGTCCAACACTTAAACAGTGATGCAGAACATGACCTGCAACAAGATTGGAAAGAAACATGGGGTTTACACATGTACCCCCCCCCAAAAAAAAATTATTTTAGCTTGTAAAGAACAAATATCCATCCCCCCTTTAAAAGTAAATAATTATCCGACCAGACGAGCCGCTTCAAATAAACCAATCGAATACCCAGGCGTCCTACCGGATACTCGTCTCTTATATAAACCTCATATTATTAATAAACTGAATAAGACTTAGGAAGCCCTACACAAATTATATCCCCTAGTTAACAAAAAAGCTCTAAAAATAGACAATTCTCCTAAGACCCTCGATAACTCACGCAGCCTCAATCCAAGGAAGTACCGCTTCTTCCGTTCTGAATTCCTTGCAAACCTTCCAAAATAAAGTGCTATGCGCTACAACCAATGTCCCAACACACAACATGACAGAGTACTGCGTATCAATAGAACCAGATACCAATAACACTTCCTTACTGACGTCCAAATTATTTTCTAACCTTCGAGCTGTCCCTTGCACCAGCTAGTTCAAACTCGGTAAAACCAGTGTTGTAGTACAAGAATTAAATTCCATTCCTCAAAAGATCTGTTCCGTTGCCTGCAATCTAGAGAAATGATCATCTCACCCCTCACTCTATCTCCTGCTTTCCTCTTACCTTGAATTTCATAAAATTAATAACAGTCGTCATAGAGATGTCCTCGCTGAGAAACAAGGGCATGATGGTGCGCCAATTTCCAAAAACACTTCAGGCTACTGTAGTGCATCCATCCATTATATTTCACAATTAAAAATTAACACACTTGTAAAGAGGTAATATTACTGATCTGGTTGAATTTGGGCAATTTTTGGACCTTCTTTTAAATGTAGAAATGTCAAAATGTCTTCGAGGATCCATGTAAAGAGGCTCAAAATGATATATTTCAAATTTGAGACAATCTGACCAGATCTTTTCCCAGATCGATCAGAGAATAATCGTTTCATGAAAAATTTGTGTGACAGTTTCAACCCATGATATAATGTGCGGTAGGTATCAAATATCAATTGTGTCAAATTTCAAAACTCGGGGTTTTTTCCTTCTATCACCAGTTCTTGGTGTAATTTGACTACGCTAATTCTGACAAAAAATCGCATTAATGACTTCTCAAACCTTCACGATAGCAAATCCTACAACCATCAATTGTAGTTAACCGCTCACTGTGCCAATTGTGAACGAAATGACCCGTCTTTTTTTCGTTTCCGACCCCTTCACTGGTTAAATTCGAACAAATTGATAATCCGGCCGCGAGCCGGTGGCAACGACGCCGCCAGAGGGTTGGTTGGAGGCTCACCCTGAAGATGGCGTTGTTGAAGACGCGGTAGTCCGTCTCGGGCAGCACCACGTTGCGGAACAGGTCGCTCATGATGCCTTCGAAGAGCGGCACGTCGTGGTTGAGGAACTTGGGCAGGTTGACGTCCAGGATGGAGCGCATCACCAGCACGTCCTCGCTCTCCTCCGGGAACTTGCGCTTCAGGTTGCCCGCCGCGGACAGCACCGACTTCACCGCGCGCATGCCTAGGCGTGCGACATTTAGTTAGTGTTCGTCCGCCACCGTTAGCACCGACTTCACCACGCGCATGCCTAGGCATGCGACATTTATTTAGTGATCTTAATCCCGTTGGTGAATTCCATGTAATATCCTTGTAGTTTGCGGTATTTCTCCACGTTTAAAGTTGAGATCTGGAACTAAGTACGCGGCGGCTTGCATATCCTCCGGGTATCTCCGGCACGGAACACCGCCCCAGATGGAACATCTTTGATCTTCCTACTTGTCACCCGACGTGGATCAACGTGTAATCCAAGAGAGTGCATATGCATATGCAATGCATATATATATATATATATATATATATATATATATATATATATATATATATATATATATATATATGCAACAGTGAGAAGAGGAAATATACAAATACAAATAAACATAGCATTCTTTCTACGACGATGAAAACTTTAATGTATAATCTTTCGGCTACTCTTGTAGTATGTAGGGACAAGGAACTCTGACGGGGTATTATTTATATATCTCTGCAAGATATAACCACAATGCCCCGTTGGCGGGAATTACGAGGTTGAGGAAAACATCTCATCGTCTCCCGATATAAAAAAGCCTGTCCTACCGCAAGGAGCTAGGGGGCCCACCGTAGTCGTAGTGGTTCTGCGAGGAGAGCTGCTCCGAGCACAGGCGGTAGGCCGTCACGATCTTCACGGACAGCACTCGCGCCTCGATGAAGCCGAACGAGTACAGCGAGATCTCGCCGATCATGGCGTAGTCGGGCACCATCATGGCCACCGTGCGGAACAGCACCTGCCACCCGGGTACGCCTTCTTAAGCTCGCGTCGAGGCCCATAATGGATTTAAATTACAAATTATATCTAAAACAATAACTTCTCAAGTTTTATTTACTGCTAATAACTCAATTTCACAAACAATGGAGAATAGACCCTTATTCTACCGAGCCCTTCAAAATTATTTATCTATATCAATAAAATTGGAGTGACTGCTTGTGATTTCAAAATAACTGTCCTTTTTATAATCTGACATGACTTTTTACATTACATGAATTCCACTCTGTTTTGTGACAGTATTGTAAGCAATTTTGGTTGGCCCAAATTAAACAATGTAGCTCACTGTTAGTCGCCCAAACGTGTGGAAAGGAATTGCAGTGTGTAGCGAAGAGATTTGCCTTGAGGTTGTCCGGCAGCTCGGAGCGGCCTGCGTAGCCGGGGTTCATGGTGATGCACACGTAGCAGGCCGGGTTCAGGTTGATTTCGGTGCCTTCGAAGACGAACGTCTTGAGCTTGGCGCGCACCGCCTGGATGATGCAGAGGATCTGCTGCGCGATGACGCTCAGCACCTCCAGGTCGATGCGGTTGAACTCGTCGAAGCACGCCCACGCGCCGGCCGACGCCAGCCCCTTGAAGAACTAAAACCCATTGGATGAATAATGAATAAAACAGAAGCAGCTAAAAATGGCATGTGATTACTCCTAAGAGATTTCTTATTCAAACTTTTTTGTTCTAAGAATGCCTCCGTTTAAAAAATTAACGAAGTCCGAAATAGTTACATTAATAAAAAATATCGTATTGTTATCGATGTGATTGAACTCGACCAAGAACATCCACGGGTGCCGAAGCCGAAGCCAGGCTGCAATTGCCGTTTGGCGCACCTTGCCCATGGCCTTGTAGTCGAGGCCGTCGGAGCAGTTGAAGACGACGCAGCACACGGCGATGGCCTTGGCCAGATCCTTGGTGGTCTCCGTCTTGCCGGTGCCGGCGGGCCCCTCGGGCGCGCCGTTCAGGTTGAGGTGGTAGGCGCCGATGAGCGTGCGGTAGCAGCGGTCCGTCAGCGGCGTGATCACCAGCCGCGACGAGTTGCCCAGGTACTCGTAGAAGTAGTGCACCGTCGCGTTGGTGCACCGCACCCACGCGTCCTCCTTCTCCCAGTAGTACCTACGCAGCGTTAACACTACATGACAAAGTGTGAGATTAAACTCAAATAAAGCCAAGTACTTAAGTTGATTCAACAATCGTATCAAGAAAAGTAAGAAAACTATGACTTTCCAGCTTGGTTTTAAAAATATGGATCAACACTGTAAGTGATTTCATTTGATTTATTTCGTCAAAGAACTGTAAACTCTGTATGTGGCTTAAGAAAGCGAAATACAATCTGCGCACGTTTTCTCTGGAATCACTTCTGTACTTTTAATCAAAATTAGTAAAATTAATTAGAATGAGTTAAATGAATACTAATATAAACAAAGCCAGATTAGTAATGTTTGAAAACATTTCCGTTTCGTTCTCGAGTTTTAGAAAACTTATATGCATGGGTAAACTAACTACGGTTTTGATTTTTTAGTATTGATAACAAAGTATTAACCCGTATCACCAGCTCTACTTCTACGACAAGCAAAAGGAGAGCCCAACAAAATGTGCGCACAGTGAAGCTTTATGTTCAGAAGCTAAACAAGGTGTCGTTTCTGGTTTTGCTCAATGGCTCAAATAAATTCTACGAAAACCAGATCAAGGTTGAGTCATTGACTCGGAAGCTGATATTAATTACTCGTTACAGACATATAAAGTATTTTTAAAATTATACAATACAAATAGAAGCAAATTAATTATATATCATTATTTGGTTGAAATAAACAGTATTATTTTATTTTTGATGATCAGTCTCTAATTGTATGGAAGTTATACATCAGAAAATATTTCACTTTTACCTTAAATTTATGTACCGGTTTGAAATGCCATCTGGTAATGCGTTTTAAAGAAACGTAGTACGAGATGTATTGTAAGTGTGTTTCTTGTAGTGAGCTATTACAGTGGTTGAAATCAATGTCTTGTGAAATGCGAATGAGGCCGTGGCTGACCGCATGCAGGCCTGCCACGCGAAGTCCTTGTCGCTGTTGATGCCCTTCTCCTTGAGGTCCAAGGTGACGTCCTTGGCGTGCACGTCGATCACCACCAGCGCCTCCAGGGTGATGCGGCTCATCTTGGACAGGTCGCCCCGCACCAGCGTCACGATGTCCTTGATCTGGTTCTGCCGCACGGAGGAACACTCATCGCAGATCAGGGCACAGGAAAATGCATGGTTGCCGCCTTTTATGACATTTGTAACATTGATATATCGGCCATGAAAGTAGTAAATTACATGACTTTCTTATAATAATCAAAATAATTAACTAATAATGTATTTATAAAAGAAATCGCCCATAAATGAATATTAAACACTTAATTTACAGCTTCTTAGTTAAAAATGTGCTTCAAACTGCCTTGTGGCAGCGTTCGGACTGCTTGCTGGCTTTTCAAATGTGTTACAAACCAATGCTCCAACCTTCCTATAACTATACCAATATCCTCGCATGGCCTTGAACAATGTGTATCTAGTCGATGAGTAATGATTTTCCATACGAGGCCGAAAGACGCGTGAATAGAAGACGTGCCTGTACACCTTCTCAAGCTCAGGGAGTCGGAGGAGAGGAAATTATCCTACGATCTGTGCCATGAGAGACAATCGACACCAAGAGCGAATCCTACGCTGAATAAAGTTTACGGTTAAGGCAGGATTCCCGCTTGCACATGATCCGGGTAAAGAAGATTTTACTGTGTATGAAACCTAATACACAGGGTGATTAAAAAGGAGTTATGTGTTATGTATTGTATTGTGGTGTGGTCGTGTTTTTTTTTTTTTTTTTGGCATTGAGGGGATTTGCATCCCTTGTGGTTTTGTATGCCACTATCACGGCACAGGCCTACGTTGATATTTTAAACAACTTATTGTTTCCCACTGTTGAAGAGCAATTCGGGGATGGCGATTGCATCTTTCAACACAATCGATCACCTGTTCATACTGCACGGCCTGTGGTGGAGTGATTACCCGACAATAACATCCCCATAAATGACTGGCATGCACAAAGTCCTGACTTGAATAATTTCGAACACATTTGGGATGATTTGAAACGTCGACTTCATGCCAGGACTCACCGACCTACATCGATATATTTCATCAGTGCAGCACTCCGTGAAGAGTGGGCTGCCATTCCCCAAGAAACCATTCAGCACCTGATTGAAAGTATGCCTGCGAGAGTGGAAGCTGTCATCAAGGCTAAGGGCCCTTTTGAATTCTAGAATTACCGAGGAGTTAATATAACTAAACTTGTGACAAAAACTGTCAGTAACGTCTCTCAAAGACTGCCATGATCCAAGCATCACGTGACTTACGGCTATTTTTGGACAATTTGTATAACCGTTACTTTTAAATCTCGCGCCAATTTCTCAGGTCGTAGTGCCGACGAGCTATTGTAAGCTTGTTACCTTACCCGCGGCCTTAATAAACCTGCATTAGAGGAAGTTTTTTCTTATTATCGGAAGCGACTTATTCTTATAATCGGGACCTATAAATACCAACTTAGCAGCATTGCATAACTTTGCTCATTGCGCATGAGGCACCTGCAGCTGCAGCCCGTACTCCTCCAAGTCGAAGGGGTTGGTGGAGTTGAGGCAGCGGTGCATGTCGGCCGTCCAGTAGATCTGCGACACGCAGATGACCAGCTGCCCCGGCCAGTGCACCACCCAGTACTTGCGCGACGTCTTGGCGTACGCCTCGAAGCTCTTCTCCACCTGCTCGCGGATCGTCTTCTTCATCTGCTCCTCCACCTGCGTTCGCATGCGCATGCGCTCCTTCGTCAACAGCTACGAGCATTACTTCTGAAAGTGCGATGCACGGGTGGAGAAAGTAGAGAGCGCTTGCCTGCAGGAGCCACTTCTCGACGGAGCCGCCGGCCTTCTTGGTGGAGATGGTCTCCGTGATGGGCACGTCCTCGCCCTCCGCGCTGATCATCGCCAGGATGTCCAGGTTGGGGTTGAACTTGAGCTTGGCGATGCCCTCGAAGCACTTGCGCAGGTGCGGCTGCACCCGCAGCGGGTCTTTCGTCTCCGACAGGATCTCCAGCATCTCGTCGTTGGACAGGAAGAAGAACCTGGCATTACGACAATGTCCCGTAAGGGTAGTACGTGTATAATCGCGGGAGGTGGCGGTGGTCTTTGTCCGCTGGAAGGTCACATCTCGGCGAAAACCTACCTTCGGCTAACTGGCATATTCAACAGAAATCTCCCACCACGCATGGCACCGGGCCACCGCCCATCTGGGACAAGCTCTAGCTCCCGACTGCTTACCCGGCATGTGTAGTAGTGTAGTGCAGTAACTGTGTATAAGAGGTGATAATAGGACAAGGAGGAGGAAGGAAAGATCGCGCGCGGTTCGTGACTCGTTTGGTATGATCCTGCTCCGATATCCCCCTGATGTTCATCGGAGAAAGCTCAAAAATCTACCTGTCAGAACTCTGCTTTAGACAGTGGCTGAAAACTAATGCCGTGAGCCATCTCCGCACTTGGGAAATTTATTCGTTTTGGTTTGCGAGAACTTTAACATTGAGGATCATGATATTAGTAAGTGCAGTGCGAGATATATTTCGTAAGGCGGCGGTGTTCTTATGTCTCTAGAACGTGGGAGCCAGCACCCATTTACAACAAGTCGTTTCCGGGTTTCCCTCCTGCAGGTATCTCCCTCAGCGAGGCACTGCCTCGGGTAGGACGAATCCGCAGCTCCCGACTCATCAAGTAGTGCATGTGTGGTTTTTAAGGAAAGCAAAAGTCGTTGAAGGAGAGACGATGGAAGCTGTCATGTGCGTGGGGGGGGGGCGCTGACCTGGCGAAGTAGAGCCGCTTCTTCTCGAGGTAGGCGTTGACGCCGTCGCCGATCTCGTCCAGCAGCTGGATGGCCTCCTCCAGCGACTCGAGCACGCCGGGCGCCCCCGCCACGAACAGCACGTGCGGGTCGCGCTTCACCTGCGTCATCAGCTTCCGGTACGTCACGTCCACTTTCTGCAACCAACCCACACGTCACCCACCCTCCTAGCTGTAGGCCCCCAATTGGTCTCCACACATGATTAATGGTGTGGTACATGGAAGTGTGTGTAAGGACTAAAGACAAAGAACAAGACAAGACTAGGAACAGGAAGGAAATATAGCGCGCTCTCTGTTCAGTTGGTCGGAGAAACCGCGGAAAACTACCGACCTGAACCGCCAACAGTTCGAATTCTCCTCCGAACACCTGCAGAATTGTGTGTAGCTGAGTGTAGAGACGCTGGCACATAGAAGGAATTTGCTTGTTCATGTCGCCAAATTGCTCAGGGCGAATAACAACCTTCCCCTCTGTTTAAAAGGAAAGTTAATACATACAACTCAACCCAGAAAACTCTTTTCTCCAAATACTATATACTTTTTTGGTACAATACGACAATACGAGATTTTCTGACAAAAAATCACCACTTAGCTATAACATTACGGTACTTTTTCTTTACAAAGTATGTAGCACGCAAGGAAATAAAAAAACATCAGCCAAAATCTCATAATACTAATAATAAATATTTCGTTTAATTATTCGAGCCGTCAAAATATATTCTCATATACGGCGTTTATTGTTTACTTTTACTTTACTTACTGGTCTCCTCCATGTAAGAATAAGTGAGGCTTTATGCGTGGAGAAGAGAGGAGATTGGCCAGGGTTTAGGGTGGAAGTATCGCGCACCGTCCGTTTGTCAGCATTTGCACAGCATTCGCATGAAGCGGATCGAAGAAATCACTGAAATACACCGATCTGAGCTGCGGGCCGATAGAATGCACAGGTGTTGGGCTTCATGAACCGGCCAACATCTGTGCATAAGGTGTTGACTAACCATCGGATGCGATTGTGGTTGATTGTTAGTGATTCCGGGCGCGTCATTAGTCTCATAAGTGCAGTGCCTTCTTCCCTGGCAGGTGGTGGTGGTGATCTTCTCCAGCTCAATGGTGAGATCCAGCGTCGACCTACAAGTTAGGTAGTGGGTACTTTTCCCAACCAGGTATCTCTCAGGGACAAGCTCTAATCTCTCGACTGTTCTCTCGACATGTGACGTAGTGTAGAGCTTGTAAGTGAAAATGAGTGTAAATAAGAGGATAGGACAAGGAAGAGGAAGGTGAGATAGCACGGTCCGTAGTCCGTTTGTTAGGGCACTGCTATAGCATTCACCGTATTTTTATCGGAGAAACAACGGACAACTGCCTATCAGAGCAGCCTGCCGCTGGAATTCTCCTAGCAATGTAGCCAGTGTCGCAAATCGTGCCACGGTCGGGACTCGCAGCTAGGACCTTTCACTGGCGCAAAGTGCTCATGTTCGCCCGCTTTGCGCCTCCTTGCCTGGAAGAGCTGCCCCTCGGTGGGCATCTGCTTGACGATGTCCTCGGAGGAGAAGATGGGCAGCAGGTGCAGCCACTGCGCCTGCACCTTGCCCCACTCGTCCACGGTGGAGTTGACGCGCAGCAGCAGCTCGTACCACTCGTTCGTCTCGCCTGCGCGCGCGCCCGCCAACGCACGAGGTTGGTATTATGCCCGGCCAAAGCCAGGGATGGCTTCTGAGTAACCATCAGAGCGGCCATTTCGGATGTTGGCAGTACCTATTAATCTTAATCGAAATTTCTGAACTTATGTAGCTAGAAGTTGACACCGATATTTTACAAAAATTTTAAATAAATAAACTCATTGAAACTATACAAGCCTTTGTTATTATTTGATTAGTCTTTTTATAAATTGAACCTAGCCCATTTGCGTGCATTCAATCCTATTTCACTCTGACTTCACTTCTCATTTATTACTCAGTTTTACAACTAAAAATCATTGGGTTTTTTCTCCCACAATCTACCTCGTGCTAGCAGATTGTCCTTTTTATGCATTGTATTTCGCAGCAAAAAGAGATATGCCAAAAGTTCCCTTAAATGTGGTATTGAGAAACCCAAGTTCAAAGTTGAGACTCAAGTTCAAGTTCAAAGTGACTATAGAGAACGCTATGCAAAGACATTGTCCTTCTACTTAGAACGTGAGGATTTTTTGACCTAGTGGAATACTTGTTGTTTACGAAATAAAATGGATTTTCACTGTGCACTTCTACTTCCAACTCACAATTTGCTGAAAATGCACGAATGCCCCATGTGCTCTGGATCTCACCTCATTTACATTTTTATTATTTTTCCATTTGATTTTTATAATATTTTATCACATATTCTTTATTATATATAGTTACATTCTCTTACCGAAAATAATAATCATTTAATAAACTAGTGTACAAAGTGAATCATCAGTGTTTGTTGCCCGAAGAGTGAGCCAAGTGTGAGAATGAACTGGAGAGTGGAAATTGTATTATGTTGTGTCTGAACCGTATGAGTACATGGACTGGGGGTTTGAATGTGTAAGAATGTAGACCGTCTGAGAGACAGTACTGGAGAATGTTATAGTGCATATGAATGTAGACCATCAGATTGAAACGACTGGAGAGTGCGTGTATGAGCATGTGGACAGTCAGATTTAAAAGACTGGATAGTGTGCTTGTTTTTCAATGTACACTGTCGGAGTGAATGGATTGGAAAGCTTGCTTGTGTGTGCATGTAGATCGTCTGAGTGAAGGAATTAGGGATTGGGATTGTGAATGGTCCTACCTTCGATGGGCTTGACGAAGACGGAGCCTTTCATGGAAAGCGTCTTCATGAGATGGTCGTCCAGCACCGCCTGCACGTCCGACACCTTCGCCAGGATGGGGCAGTCCAGGTCCCTGTCACGCCGAGCACAATACTCTTATTTCCTTTTTATTTATTTCACGCCAAAAACAGATAAAACTGTGTGTGGCGGACTATGATGTAAGTGTATTCAGTACACGTTTTCTTAAATTCTGGGATCCCTACCTTAATCTACACAAATCCAATTGTGAATACTGGTATAAATGAGCGTTTGTGGCAAGAATTGCTAATAAAATATTCAGTAACGTGTAATAAATTATATTTGCAAAGTCAAATCAGCTATAGATTGGGGTTATTATCTTTCATCGTGCCCTTTGTAAAGAAATCGACGTCTTGACGTAAGAATATGAAGATAAGTAATTTGAATAACAATATTTTCCGCTGAACTCTAGAAGAGGTGTGCAGATAATGAAGTTAAATTTATATGCAGAAGCAAAAGAAGGGATCATGTCAGTATTGAAATTGCAAGAAAAACCTGATTGAGATGGAGTTCTTGGCTCAGAAACTATTTATACCCACATTTCGCAACTCACAGTTCACCCTAATTCTGAAATAATGTTGAACCTGATGTTGGAGAGAAGGGGGTCATGCTGTTTTACCGCTCTCCCCCCCCCCCTCAGGAACTCATGATTCGATGTGTCAAATGTTGACGTCATAAATTTTAACAATAAGTCAAGAAAAACAAATTTTATATTCAGCATAAATGAAAAATTATTTATAAGAAAACATCAAGACGCCCGGGCATTATTATTATTATAACCCTCTCCGAAAACGTGAACCTGAAATGTCAAAAATATGCTTGAAAAATGTTCTCGACTAGACCTTTGTCCTTTATAATCACGTCTTGGGCTTTTGCATTCAAATTTCATAAAACCTCGGTATAACTTTGTGCAGTATTCATTGTAATATTTTGTTTATAAAAATGGTACTTCTCTGCAATTTTTACACTCGCCAGATTGTAATGCAATTGCACGCGTGTTGATGAAATTATACATTTCTAATATTGTTTGTAGAAATAGATATTATTTTGAAATACCATTTTGCTTTATTTTGAATTAGTTGCACAGTATCACCTTTCCATTTTTTGTTGCTAAGTTTTTGAAGAGAGGTTGCTTATATTTGAAAAAATGTGGAAAATTTATTTTCAATATGCTTCGGATTTTTAGGCACTTAAACAGTTAAAATAGTTTACTAAAATTCTAAAACAGGCATTTCAATAGACATAAATTTGTAATATAGGTATTTGAAAGACACAAACAATTTATTATTTTCAACTAAAAAAACAATAAGCGAAAGTATCGCGCAACTGGGACATCGTTTATCGATTTGTGATATGATGAAAGTAACTGAATTTATGACAATTAATAATTGAATATTTCTTTCTGCATTCGATTGCATGCTGCATTAAATTACAATAAAGCAACATTGCAATGAAGCAGTTGCATAAGCTATTATTTGTTTAAGACTATAATAAATTTATAAGAGGATAAAACTTATTAATTGTGCGAAACTTCATTCTTGTGGCGTCTTCAGTATTTGACACATATACGCGAAAACGGTGGTCGGTTGTTCCGTTTGGCTGAACGTTTAATGACGCAATAATTCGTGCCAAAAAATGCCCAATTGTGAACGATGTCTTGCAAACAGAAAAGGTCGTCGAAACGAAACCCTGTGAACGTAAATGTAAGGCAGAGGCGGCGAGCGCTCACTTGAACGTCATGGTCTCGAAGCACACGTCCTCCCACTCCTTCTTCATGGCCGCCAGCAGCTCCCGCAGCCCCTTCTCCTTGTTGGCGCTCATGCTCACCACCTCGAACCTGCGCCCCAGGCACGCAATCACTTCGCCTGCCCTACGACGGCCGTGTCAACGTAGCTACAGCCCGGCCACTTAGGAAAGGACTATGCGGAGGGGGAGAAGGTTCCCTCTCTAGAGGCTCAACTTCCCCGCCTGGAGGAGCCGCCGCCGCCGCCCCGGCCCTCTGCGGGCGGGGAGAAGGCAGCCCGGCCGCAACGAACCTTGAAGTGTTGAACAGTGTTGTTGCAAGAGCAAATGAGTTATCGTTGCAGGCGGCCCTTCAGTTCAATTGAGCTTCCCTTCGGGAGCAGTGGGGCATGGCGCAGCCTTACGCCTTCCGACGTAAGGCACGCCATGATTTTTTTTCTAAGTGGTCGAACTAATACTACGATTTTCGCAACTCTGCCCCTGTCACGTATCAGCTCTTGACAGTTTCATCCAACCGCGAGTTTGAACGTCACCATAATGACGTAGAGATAGGTCTGGGGTCGAGTGTGTCGGTACCTTCCTCCTTAACTTCATAGTTTACGTAACACGTTTTTATTGTGCTTTTGTTTAATTTCAATGTGACATCTATATACGAAAGAAAAAGTGCGACCGATCGTAACACATAAAAAACCTTCTGTCGTGGACAAATTGGCGAATTCAAACCCGAAAAAAAAACAAGAAAAACGCAGAACCTACTCTCACGTATTGTTAAATACTTTTACACTTAAAAGATCAAACTTGGTACAAAAAAAATAACAGAATTAATGTTTACAGCAAATCTAAGTTATTTGCGTCACATATAAAACGCCTGCTACTAAAGCCTAATAATAACCATAAAAGTCAATTGATAAGGTAAATTAATAAAATACAATTTCTAAAGATAAGTGTTTAATTTAGATCTCTCCGCTTAAGATGTATCTGAAGGACACGGCAAAATTCTGGTGCCGCGACCAGTGCTATGGAGGAATATTAAGCCCTAAAATCTGCATTTATGTGCTCAGTAAAACCAACCTTATATCCATCAGAATTCTTAGTGTCGTGTTTTTTCACTTCCAAAAATTAAATAACAGTGATTATAAAAATATGACAAGTAATACGGATCTTATCTCTAGTTATGTGTAATCAGTAATTAAACTTAATATGTAATGAAATGCAACGAGTAATGAAATGAGATGAGAAATTAATGGAATAAATAATGAAATTAGTAATGGGTAGAGAAATGTAATAAGTAGAGGGAGGATTTTGATGAACTAAAACATTGCCAAAAATTATGAATAAAATGCTCTTAAAATGCTTTCAAAATCCCATAAAAATAAACAACAATGACGTAATTTTTTCGTCAAAACCACTTCAATTGAACAATTTAAGCTGTTGTTTACGTTAATGATGTAATCCAGGCTTCTTCGTATTGTTTAAGTGAACTCAGCCTATAAACGTTTGGTTTGGACAGTTCTTTAAAGAAAAATTCTCTGCCTTGATTTATCGCGAAATTGCCCGAACTGATAATGGCGCCGATAGGCGTTACAGGAACCTTAGATTACATAGTACTCACAACGGCTGACATTACAATATATGAGCAAAGAAATCGAATTTGCTTCTCAGGAATTCTGTGGTGAGCATCTGTTGAAACTCGTAAATATTATTTGAAGAAAGTAGCATTAAAATGTTTTTAAAATCGATGAAATCAGCAGAAAATGTATTAAAAATGACGTAAAAATGTAAAAAATAACGAATTAGTAGAATTCAACGAAAAATGCAAAACAAAGACAAATACAATGGGTCATTTCATAATATAAAATGGGGTAATAATAATACATAATGGTTTTTTTCATAATATAAAATGAACTTCTGTACTAAACGACGTTGTTCTAAAGTGAAAAGAAAAATCCACATTTCATTAAAATCCTCCCTCCAGTAAATGCAATATGAAATAAATCTCTATGATTAATGTTATGCAATGAGTAAATGAAACGTAATGAGGAAGGAAACGCAATGAGAAACGACAAGCAACGCTGCGTACTGAAACGCAGTGAACAGTGAAATAGTTTGTGCTAAAAGCGATGAGCAATGAGAGAATTTCCATACAGTATCATTAAGATATGAGCTATTAAATAGCCAAACATCCACAATTACGGCAAAATTAACGAAATTTGCACTATCAAATGTATGTACGTGTATTTGTATTTTATTCATATGTCTATTTTAGTCCTTTTAGTAGCAGTGCACTATTAAAAACAATCAACATTTACTTCCGTTAGATTCATCTACTTGCGGCTAAAAGCGTTAATAATGGCAAAAATGAAACTTTTTTTTATATTTAATATTTAAAGGGTGAATTTTGCCATTCCTGCAAATGAGACTTACAAAACCAGAACTATGAATTAATTCGTGTGGAGTATCTTATCCGTAAAGACCTTTCGTGGAGTAATATCCGAAACTCTCGACTATGTGAATCCAGTGGATTCACGAATTTCACCGAGGGGTCACCGGCCGGCACGCACAGTCATTCCTTTCACTTCGTTCTGCAATATCTCTGCGTATTGATCAGATGTTACTGCTCACAAACACGAAAAAAGTATTTTGAAATGTTTTGCATTGTGAAAGATAGTGTGTTGCACTTTCACAATTCAAAACTGGCAGTTTGTACTTGCTTTTCTTCCAATTTGCCAGAATGTCACTTGTGATCTTAGCAATAAAAGAAGCGGTATCTGTCCGTTGTCAAATTCTAAGAATCACAAAATATTTTTAATTTATTGTTAACCTGATTTATGCAAAAATCTAACCGTTAAGTAAATAAATAAAAGTTAACTAAATAAAAGTTTAATTAGCATTTTTATACGGAAAATTACACATACACATTACGCATGACTTTCTTTGAAAAATGCACCGAAAATGCAAAGAGGCACGGAAAAGAGTATCTTTTAATCAGCTTGCAATACAAAATTATTACAAAATATGAAAGCTGCAGTAATCTTACCCAAACCGGCATTTGCATGTAAGTTCAGTCCCCAGCAATGAGTAACGAAACACAATTACGTACACTACGAATACAATTAGAACGTGATTGACATTTGGGTGAGGAGTAGGCCTACGCTGCCCCATACTGAGCGCTCTACCCCGTGCCCTCAACACTAACTACACAGGAATGTTGAGAATCTCGTAACAAGTTTGTTCCTAACATTTGTTACAATTCTTCGTAACATTAGTTTACTCGTAACAGTTTTCCATAATTTAAGGTGACTACGATCTGAAAATGTCGAAGCTTCTGATTCGCTGTTCCCTAGGTTACGGCCCTAGCGTCATCACGTGACCACGAAATGGCAATCACATTCTAATTTTATTCGCACCTTAGCATTGAGCGTGAAGTCTGTAAGAATGAGACTCACCTCCCATGTGGTGGGGTGATGTACGAAAAACGTCGGCAGCTAGGCCGCTCAACTGAAGGTCAGCGACATCAAAAGGTAAACAAAGGAACTTGTATGGACTTTTCTTGGCCAATAACAACACGCATTCACGTACTTGACACTTAAGTGTAAGTGTGGGTGGAATTTATTTTGAAGTGGGGTTTCTACAATTAAGTGTATGTAGTATAGGTGGAGTTGATTTTATACATGAGTTTGGTTGCCATTGGCCGAAAATACCGTAAAAGGTTCTCCCACTGACCGCGTGATGTCACTGAAGTTCAGTTCTACCGATTAGCTGCCCACGCGATTCATACATCCCCCCACTACCATCAGAGGGGAGTTTCCTGCTACTTCGAGTCTTCGTAAATGATTGATTAGCGATTCTGAGTGCGTCAAGGCCAAGCTGAGGCAGTGATCTCCCCCCCCCCCGGATGGTGAGATCCTGCGCCGACCTACCTGTCGGCTAACGGGGTTTCCCCACCAGGTATCTCCTGCCAGCGGGGCACCGCCCCAGCTGGGACAAACTCTAAGCTCCCGTACGGTCTATCGGCAATTGTGGCAGTGTAGCGCATGGCGGTGTGTGTAAGTAATAGGGGAGGAAAGGAAAAAAGAGGAAGGATAGATCGAGCTCAGTTGGTGGCGTGTTTGTCAGAGAACTGCTCCGGCATTCGGATGGTGTTGATTGGAGAAACCACGTAAAACTACCGATCAGAACAGCCGGCCACTAGGATTCTCCTCCAGACAGTGGCTAAATTCAAGCTAGTGTGGAAAGCCATGCCACCGTGGGGAGTGGAACCATAGGACCAGCTCCCCAGAAGGCATCAGCTGATGCCCTGAGCCACACGTGTACGCAGGGCAGGGCGGACGCACGTCTCCATGAACTGGTTGAGCTTCTGCGCGAGGATCTTGCTGAGGGTGGTGCCGGCGTCGGGCGTGATGTCGTAGCCCACCGCCTCCTTCATCTCGTCCCAGTGCTTGCGGTCCAGCGCCGGGTTGCGCAGGAGCTCGATGTACTGCATCTTGGGCTGCGCACGCGCCGCGGACATTAAAACGAGGCGCACCGCAGGGGCCTGCCCGCGACGCAAAGACTTGGGGGAACTGCTCCGGCCCCTGATGTGTTACGTGACCACAACCAGAAAAGCCAGCCAGACTCTGCCTGTCGTGCTGCATGGCAAGCGAGAAGTTTTGAGAAACAATTTCAAAGTGGCATAAAGTGATAATTTTTAACGTCGCTCAACCAAATTACACGATGAAAGTGTAGTTTAAATATAATATTATTTTAATGTTTCAATGATTGTAATGTTGAATGATTGCAAATTTTAACGATTGTAGTGTTTCAATGATTTGTAACAAGGTGATAATTTTTAATATCTGGATCTGCATTTAAAATTCTCGCGACTATTTTGACGCAAATCGGTGCATGAAACCCATTATCTGAAGCTAGAGAGGCTGAGCAACGGCTCATCCATGTCTTTGCATGTCCTGGCTGCTTCGCAGTTTTAGTGCCTACTTCTAACAAGACACCACTCGCTAAAATTTAATTCCCTGATAATATATTTTCAATTTCACCAACTTTTCCCCGTCCTCCGTTAGTTAATCTGCGTTCAGTAACATTCATTGATGTACAAAATGCTTAAATACTCACACACAGAGGGGAGTGAATTCAATAGTCTTTCGTGAACGTATGATTACTTTCTGAAGAAA